GAGCATGTTTGGTGGTATGCGGATTCGAACCCGCGACCCTCAGATTGTGAGTCGAGCGCTTTGAAAATGGAGTAAAACATCTTGAAATTGTACGACATCATTAGATGGGAACACAATTTGTTTTAGGAACCCTTTAAATGGCATGATGCGATAAATAACAAAAAACTTAAGAATGAAAAAAAAGCTTTATCCGGTGGTGAAAATACTGATTTTGACAAAAACAAACAAACACTAGTCACTCTAGATGAACTGCTTTAAAATGTACTTATGACATTTATATCATTACAATATCTTGAGATACAACTTGAAACACCGTAGAGAGTTGTGGATATCTCTATAAAAACTGTAATGAATTTAATCTGTTTCCAACGTATGGTACTACCACGGTGGTCATGTTAGTATTTTAATCTGTAGAGGGAACAGAGTGCCGATTTTTATAGATAATAATAATAAAACTAATATTAACTTCTTATTGGGGAATCACCGAATAGCCATAGATATCCGAATGAAGAACACAGACAAGCAACAAACAAGAGTTAGAATAGAATTATTACACGTAACAAAACTCACACAATCACTAGTGATACATAGCTTACCCGATATTAAAACTACCCGTATTATTAGCCAACTTTATGTAATGCACCAGTATATGTTATTATCCAACTTTATGTAATTCACCAGTATATGTTATTAGCCAACTTTTTGTAATGCACCAGTATATGTTATTATCCAACTTTTTGTAATGCACCAGTGTATGTTATTAGCCAGCTCTGGGTAACGCACCAGTATATGTTATTATCCAACTTTATGTAATTCACCAGTATATGTTATTAGCCAGCCCTGGGTAATGCACCAGTACATATTACTAACCAACTCTGCGTAATGCACCGGTATATGTTATAAGCCAGCTCTGGGTAATGCACCGGTATATGTTATTAGCCAGCTCTGGGTAATGCACCGGTATATGTTGTATGTTATTAGCCAGATCTGGGTAATGCACCGGTATATGTTATATATATTACCATAGCTACCGGACTGACCTGTATATATTTTTAGCCAACTCTGGGTAATGCACCAGTATATGTTATTAGCCAGCTTTATGTAATGCACCAGTATATGTTATTATCCAACTTTTTGTAATGCACCAGTATATAATGCATTACAAAAAGTTGGATAATAACATATACTGGTGCATTACGCAAAGTTGGTTAGTAATATATACTGGTGGATTACGAAGAGTTAGCTAATAAGATATGAAATGGATCTAGTGCCTGATTTAGCTCTTGCTAATTTCACTGTATATGCTTATATATAGATATTTCAAAACACATCTTGTACGTGGTTTAGGGATTACAACAGCAATTCTAAGTACACACATCCAGGAAAACTCATGAAATTATGCTATCACGTGCACCGGAATCTAGTAGGTCCTTGGTATCATGGTTGCTATTGACAGTTTACAGCTATTATAACATTCTTGTAAACGACACACAATAAGGAACACACTGTGAATATCAATTCACTTTTGCCAGATATCATTTGAAGGACATTTACTCAAGGATATCTTAAAAACCAACTAGAAAGAAAGGCTTGCCCGTCTTTTAACAAACTAATCTAACCTATATAAAACCAATGTGTGTCACGTCACGATTGATTTCACGAAATAGGAGTCATAAAAGCCAAAATGCGTTTATCCAGATAGAATAGTTCGATTACTGTCTGCTCGTTACGATTTTAGTGACGGGGGTGGCAAAGAGACCGTGAGTGAGAGTGTGTGTGTGTGTGTGTGTGCCGTGAAACCTTATAAGTGTAGCGAGTGTTGGTATAATAAGCCCAAAGTAAAGACGTAGTGTGGGATCACCAAGCCTACAGCCAAGTACATAAAATTTATCATGAAAGTAAAAATATCGATTCAATTTTAAACTTGAACCGTTTCTGAATTAAGCTATTTTCTATTATATCAAACGTTTTAAATAAAAGAAATCTTTTAATCTACGGAGACTAAATTAAAAAATCAACAAATATTTTTCCAGTTTTGTTGTCTATATACATTCTATTTTATACTTTCAGTACATAGACTAACAACAATATTAGGTTATACTTCTGTTGCTAAGCAACACGATATAAAAACCATTGTTGGAACGCAGTGTTACCAAATTGCACTGGCTTTTTTATATATTAGAAGTTGTTAATCTAACTGGTTTTTATCAATAATTATTGTATGAATACGCCACGAATTCATTTCATGAATAAACTTAATTTTGATTGGCTCACAAAAAAATTTACCTCTTTGTTGCTCAAGCTTGATTTCGATTTTTTTTTATTTCAGTTAGCTATGAAATGTAAGGTTGGGGTATACTATGGGGTGAGGGGTTTGTACTTGCTCCGTCATTTTTCACGGGCTATACACTAGTTTTATATATTGATACTTGAAACCTTCGGTACTTGGTGAAACTCCATAATCACATAACTGAGGAAAAACAAGACAATTGGACGTTTCACAAATATATTTATTACGATCATGGTTTCACCAGTAATGGCATCATCAGGTACATACTGAACTGTTTTGTAACAGGGTTTATATATATATATATAGGAACAGACTGAACTGTTTTGTAACAGGGTTTATATATATATGTTTAAAGAAAGAACAGGAAGTGATCTTGACATTCACCTAGAGACAAGTAGGATAAGAAGTGGGGAGGAGCTTAAGTTGGTTTAGTCGTTCAGAACGTTTTCTGGATTTGTTTTTAAGACCTTTTCCACAGATATGTAAAATTTTGCATTTTTTTTTCTGGATCAAATTGGTGTTAAGTTTCAATAAGGTGGGATGCAAAGGTTGAATCAATTTTCCTTAATTTCCAGCTTCTAGAATGTTCTTTAATTCTTGTTTCTATGGAACGTCCTGTTTGACCTATATATATACACCATTGTTGCTGTACTTTTCGATTCTGTCTTTGTTATTACACAACATTTTTCCTAGGTTGTTTTAAGAGTAGAAGGCCAGTCTGTAGGTTTTTTTGTTCAGTGTGTTATATATATAGTTTGTGAAAAGGTTTTCAAAGTTAATTAATACATTGCTATTTAAAAAATTTAAAGCCATAAATTTAAAATCAGTACACCCACATACTGTACCAAACGACAACAACAACAAAAATAAATGGCTTAAGATGAGCTACATTCGAAAACCTTCTCACAAAATATATAACACACTGAATAAACGTGTAGCTTTGCGCGAAATTCATTACAAACAAACAAACTATACCTGATGATGCCATTACTGGTGAAACAATGGTTGTAATAAATGTACTTGTGAAACCTATAATGGTCTCGCTTTTCCTCAATTCTGAAATTAATGTTAATTCAAAGTACAGAACTTCTTCGTTACAGATTTTCAAGCTACGTGCACAATAATCTCTCTTGTCCAAAACTCAATGTGTCCATTATTATACGTTTCTTTAGGATATGTTATTTTCCAAACTGTAATAACTTATGTAGGGAACTTTTTATTTTCCATTTTTCTTTCCGTGGTGGGAAAAAAAAACACAATATGTTCTGTAAAAAGGAAAAATTGAATCACAAACATTTTAACTTTTTAATGCGGATTTTAACTTTAGTCCGTGTTTTATGGTATACCCTTCGTTCTAACTTGTTAAATCAACTATCCATAAAGAAACTTCGTCTCATGTTACTACATAATCCATCAGGAGAAAATCGCATCAAAATATTTTCTCTCCGCTGAAGAAGGAAGGTTACCAAGGGCAACTCTAAATTATTTAAACAACAACACTATGCATGCGCTCCAGACGATATTGTGACTTCGCGTGACTACCCCCTTCCAAGAAAGAGCGTGAATCAATGATAAACAACTTACCAGCTTTCAAGGGGCGAGGAACTCCACCCACAAAGACAGTTTTTCTGGGATCAAGCGGCATGGAGGCATCCAATACAAAATCAGCATCACTGAGTCGCCAAGGTCGGATCTGGACCTATGTAGAGAGTGAATATTTAGATCTGAGGAGCTGTCAAGATCATTTTTACTAATACACAATACAGTATGAAAACCAAGACAGCTTAACCCATGTCGATAAATAAATTCCATGTGCATGGTATATGACGGTGATGTGTATGATAACAGACTAGTCAGAATATTAGTGCTTAGTGCATTTCTGCCACGGTAGAGAATACCGATGGGAAAAAGGAAAGATGTCAATTTCTGTTATCAGAAAATATTGCTAATGCAGTGTTAACACGTGACGTTTTCTCAGCCTTGAATTTTGTCATTATTGGCATAATGACTTTACCATAACAATACATATAAATAACGAACGAAAATGAATTCATAAACACTTTGAAATTATGTGATAAAACTAATTAAATCAATTAAACCTTAGATTTACATGTATCAATTCTTTCACGAGGATGAACATCAACAAGTTCATATTATAGTTAATTCACAATATGAACAGTTTCTTCGTTGTGAATCCTATACTAATAACATATGCAACTATTTGTGTCTTACAAATACAATATTAAAATCGAATAATTACCCATCTTGGTTTTTGTCTACTGGGTTCCCATTACAACATTTTATTTCATGTTATCCGTCTACATATCCCCCTATTTACTTATTATTATTAAGCACAAGCTACTCCTTTAGTTAAATGATTCTTAGATAAGCGCTTCACTCAGAAATGTTTTTCTTATCGGATTTTGTTTATAATTTTACTGCTACTCATAATTGTGCGCAAAGACAACACATTCACTAGATGTAGCTAAGTCCACTGCATTAAATTAACAGTTAGAATAAAAATAGTAAATATTAAAACTAAACCAACGGAAAGGTATACGCATACCTATAATCCACACAAAGATAACGAGATAGTTGTCGTAAGCCATCTACAACGGAACGACTACATGAACGATCTAATTTCTATATGCAGTTTGATAATCAACATCCAATCAAGTCCATTAATGCAACTCCCCACGTGGCATATTCGGCCGTCACGTTGTCTTGTCGCCATTCTTTTCCTTTGATGATTCCGTGTTATTACAAATTACGGAAACAACTGAAAGAATTGCTTTACGTAATTTCTACTTAGCAAATACGTTTTTTTGTTTGTTTATTACTAAACCAAATTTCGCTATCTATATTAGTCTCAGAAAATACGACACCCTCTTTTTTTGTAGCTTACTTTAAACTTACCGGTTTATCTTTGATTGTGGGACTAGAAACACAGAGGTACAGTTTCTCGTCCTCCTGGATGCATGCGTCAATCAGGGCCTGAACAGAGGACTCGTCTTGGAACAACAAGAACGCATAACCTATTGAAAACCGAAACCACTTAACACGAGCTCTTCTCTACAAACAGCTGTTGGTATTTTGTTTTTAAGAGTTACCTGTTCATTAAAAAACTTAATGTTTTAGTTTTACATCAGGAGTTACTGTTTGAAAAGATAACAAATCAAACTACCACAGTTAACATAGTGTGACTAATGATCTTAGGAAAGGTACGCCTGTAACATGTGATTATGCAAGTTGTTACTATGATCCAGTAGTATCATCTCAGTGTAAATAACGTTATTCCGCATTTAAATATGCTTGAATTTTTTCATAAAATATTTAAACGTTTAAGGAGCTTTATCATTTTTACTTCATTACCAACATTATAACGATGTATTAAACTCAAAGACACATTATATATTCCGTTCAGAAAAATCATTTACTGGCACTATACACAAATATAACCTAGTTTCACAATTACCTTTAGGTGGAAAGTAAGACTTGCTTTCTGCTTTGTGTGGCCAATCCACCACCAGAGGGCCAAATCGTCTAAAACTTGCTGTAATTTCCTCTGTAGTAATAATAATTTAAGTTGAATCAAAATGTTCATATAAATCAAATGTAAAATCTTAATTCAAATTTATTTTGAAACAGCAAGAAAGGTAGATAGTTTAAAAAATGCGCAAAATCACGCTAAGCCTACTTTGGATTCGCAGTTGTAGTGGTGTCATCCTCTCATGGCTTATTTCTATAAATTGTTTTCTGTATCAACGTGTGTTGTTTTTTATATAAAAAAATCTTACTTTCAAGCACAGAATTATAGCTATATTATTTAAATAGATTAATCTCAACGCTGCATTATTTTATGATATATTTCAAGTTACATACAGAATCAGATTCAACATTTCGGTTTTTGCCAATAAGGGCTAGGAAAAAAAAAACATTTAATATTGTTCTTATGCGCCATTTATGTTATGCGAGGCATTGCAAGACGAAATAAAAGTTTGTCAGAAACACAATAAGTTTTCTGAATATTTCTTCTGATGTCATTCATTCATATCATATATATATAATGACACAGGGGTGGAGAGAATAAAAAAAAAAAAACATCAAACAAAATCCTACAAACATTTATATTTCAAGACAAATTCCACAAAAGTGAGTCGCTTGCAAAACGTAGATCCATCAGTTAATTGTTTCCGTGGCGTTTCATACTTGTACGTTCCCATGTTCATCTTTCAAATGTCATAAATAAAGCGAACTGTCAGACCGACAGGAAGAGTACGGAGTTTAAAAAGTAATCACACAGCCTACAGATCTGTTATTATAATTAGGTTTTTCAGTTAAGACGATTTATCGTCTTATATTCGCCTTTTCTTATTGCAACACAGAACGTTGGATAACCCTTATTTCAGTGAAGTAGCTACTCAGGAAATAGTTTGTTCTGAACAAAACTAAAGAAAAGAGACAACAACAACAACAAAAAAGTTAATCGAACAAGAAGAACCATCTTTCCTCGTCTTTTGAACCCGCTCACACCGTACGGATAATGTAATTACGCTAGTCCCAGCCTGGTTAAAAAAAAACCTCTGTACTCTTAATGAAATCAGGTTCTTCTAACACAAGAGGCTAGTTTCTCTTTTCTCTCTCTCTCTCTCTTTTCAAGAGGACGACGTATTTTGGAAGAAATACAGAACCCTGGAAATCCTCTTTTGGAACAGTTTAATTTTTGAGGTTAAAATATATATATATACATTTTTACTGCAACGAAGTATTGCACATACTCACCCTAGTCTTACAAATCTCTACGTAAAAGTACAAAAAGTTTCCAGATGAAAAACATTCATACTTCTTGTAGAAAAACTCGTTCATTTCTTCTCAAAATTGAATGTCAAAACAACTACAGACTGACACCCATTATAATGTAAATAAGCACACAGAGCTTTCTGAAAGTATTACTGAAAGTTTGCTGATAGTTAAAATAATAGCAATAACGTTGAAAACTTAAGTTAACTTTCTGTCAACCTGTATTTCGTTTCGTCTCATAAATACACAGTTTCAATACTGCAACACATAAACATCTCTCTTCCAGAGCCAGGTATATTTTTAGATACACAATAAAAAAATAATTCATCACTTTTCTTAAACTAAAACCTGGCAAACTCATGGAAGTTTCAATGATAATACCATTTAATCATGGTGTTACAAAACTCCCAAATCACGAGTGGTTAATATGGCACTTTTTTAAGGCTAAATCAACGGTTATATATTATTGTATCCTATATATATATGTCCACAGCAGTGCTCCAGAGGGAGACACATCTGCCTATGATAGTTAAAAAAAAAGAGTTACGTCAGCTAAAAGTCTTCACAAATCTGAACGACGTAAAGTTAGATTTACAATACAAGATTAAAGGTAAAAATCTGCCCCGAAATTATCTCCTATTTTCATATGAATAAAAAAGTCAAGTTTGACCACAACATAATACCAGTAATTTGTCAAGCATTTCAGAGAAGTTTTTTTTCTCAAAATCTTTAATTGTAGAACCTGAATTACAGCGTTACTGCTTGTGTTTGATATTTGAAATCAAACTACGAAAAGGTAAAAGCTTTAGCATTGGTAATCTTAATAATTACAATGTCCGTATAATTATTAGTAATGAAAACAGAAGTAATATTTATACACGCACGTGGATTCACTAATATTAGATAAGTTAATTTGGGTGTTTAGCACTTTCTCCGTTAAATCAAAATCTGATCCTACAGATGTAGCTCCTTTTAAACTCATCTTTACAAGAGCAATATTGATGGATAAATATAGAAAAGACAGAGCTATCTTTAACCTTCTTGTATGAGAAGTCATCATCTGCACATATACATTGGAGTTCCGTGCTTCAATTACTAGTGTTTAACACACTGTAAATTTATATTAAAACTGCTGCTTGTTCAGTAATTTTATTGCGTTAAGAGCACATCAGCTTTCCAAGCAGTCACAGCCGGGTGACGTTCAGAATACGAATGAAGCTTTAATTGTCATCAACCACTGTCATATAATTAGGGACGTGAACGTTTTCAGGAGAGAGGGGACAAAATAAAATTTATTTTCACACAATTGTGAATATGCATGTACACATACACACGGTCGCTTATTCTTTTTATGCTAATCATTAAAACACAGCACAGTATTTTCTTTTATTTCTAACTGAAATGAAATGCTGATATGACCTCTAATGAAGATATTTTTCGCGGTAATCTTTATTTATTACCCTACAGCTATTTAAAAAAACCGTCTTCACAGCAGTTAAGAACGAGAAGAATAGAGTTGTTGGTTTAACTAAAGACATCAACTTTCATCTTCAGTTTTAATATTATAACAAAGTTTTTTGTTTCGGAACACACACACACACACACATATATACAAACTTCGGTTTGTACTTGTGGCCTTAAAAATAAAAGCAACGAAACTGTAATCCATTTTATTTACACCAAAGACACATACTAGTAGAATAGCAGCAAAATATAAGTTATTCTTAATGTCATTATGATGACATTCTAGAAGAACCATTTTATTTACACCACAGACACATACTAGTAGAATAGCAGCAAAATACAAGTTATTCTTAATGTCATTATGATGACATTCTAGGAGAACCATTTTATTTACACCACAGACACATACTAGTAGAATAGCAGCAAAATACAAGTTATTCTTAATGTCATTATGATGACATTCTAGAAGAACCATTTTATTGTATTTCATTATTAGAATATGTTATCAGAAGTAAGTATTTAAATATGAGAAATTTTTGTTAATAGAAATTCGCATTAGGGAAATGAAATATATAAATAAATACCAAACACACATATATGCATAATTAATCGTTATTCCAATTTTCTCTATACTTCTAAATATAGGTGATTTGTGATACTGACAATAAATAACAGACCCATAATCTTCGATCTAAGAAAGAACTTTTAAAGCAATTGTTAAAGAGTCACAACGTTATTCTTTTTAACAATAATAACGAATGAAAATTAAACCATTCAAAACAAAACAGTAAGTGCATGATATCTTTACGAACACAGAACAGCTCCTGGATGCAACAATCGCAAAAATAACACCTTATTAACTGGAACGTATTCTGTCAATTTAGGCTGATGACAATAAGGAAAGGTTCTCCGTACCTTCATCAATGTCCGGGGGAAGCCCACCAACAAATACCTTGCGAGAATATCGTTCCCCAGGTTCAGAGTTTCCTTGGGACTTGGGTGAGCAATGCATGGGAGAATTAAGGGAAGGGACTATCTGATCCAGATGGCCATCTTCCAGAAGATGGTTCTCTTCAAGTCCAGTAAAGAACGGCGACTTGCCTAAAATGTAGACAGATGTTGTGGTTAACGGGATCTACGAAAAATACGCAAAGCAGGCAGCAGGATGTTTACTAATTATACATATCAAATTCTGGTTTTTTTCTTTAAAATATATATTTTTATTTATTATCAGCTAAAGGCAAATCAACAGTTATGAATATTGTAAGATAAGGTGAAAATATATTAAAACAAACAAGCTTTATTAAGTTTAAAAATGTGAAAAACATAGTTAAAATAATATGTGACCAAAAATTAAATGTCAAGGTCTAGTTTGTCAATATTTTTCACTTACTGAAAGGTCAGAAGTGAATTGCATTAGCACAATGATCTACTATTGTTCCGCCTACAAAATAACTGACAGATGCGTGGGATTGTACTGTGTTCAGCGTACTGAGTTAAATGACTTTTTTTCCATTCTTCTATGACGTATTACATTTATCCACTCTTCAAATTTCCCAATTTTGACCCTATTTGTGTACCAGAACTATGTAATTATGAAAAAAAGTTAAATACCAGCCACGTATAACAGTTGAAAAATACAAATAAAAATAGCAAGGAATAACGTGTGTTCACGTACACCAGCACAAAATACGATAAAACGCAGCCCACTCTAGCGGTATGTTGTTTATTATAAATATGAAAACAACAAGAATTCAAGATATTGAGAGCTATTCCTATAATACAGTTAGACTGATTTTTTTTTTCTCGCTGGCGTAGACAGACGAGTAAATTGTTTTACAACTTTCATGTTGAAATGTTCTAACAGTTATTATATTTTTAATAATCTTTAATTATATATTCAATCAGATATTGTTTAATATCACGCGCACTGTTAGATACATAACATTGTTCTTGTTCATGACTTCTGGTTATTTGGGTTTTAATTAATGGTCACTACTTTCGCAAAGTACTGCCTACTAAGTAATAGGCCTGAACTGAAATAATGTGCAAACTGGTTGTTTCTACCGGGGGCCTTGCGCTTAGACCATCCCGGGGCTTTGCACCTTGTCCTTCTTAACGACCTTGTTGACATAAAGGTCT